CGAGGCCATGCGCGCCGAGGGCGCCCCCGCCTCGCCGCCCTGCGCCGGCACTCGCACCTGCACGGTGACGGAGGGCAAGCACGCGCGCCTCAGCTGCTACGTGACCGGGGAGCCCAAGCCTGAGACCGTGTGGAAGAAGGACGGGCAGCTGGTGGTCGAGGGCCGGCGACACGTGGTGTACGAGGACGCGCAGGAGAACTTCGTGCTCAAGATCCTCTTCTGCAAGCAGTCGGACCGTGGCCTCTACACGTGCACAGCGTCCAACCTCGTGGGCCAGACCTACAGCTCCGTGCTGGTCGTCGTTCGAGGTGAGCTGGGGTGCCCGGCACCCCTGCCGCAGTCACTGCGGGGGAACGCAAGTGAGGCTCCTCCCTGTCTGTCCGGTAGATTGGGAGCTGGAAGCCTGGCGGCTCCCTCTTTCACCGGCCTGCAGAATGCCCGCAGCACAGGAAGGACCCTCAGCCTGTCCCCGTCTTTGTGAGTCACGAGAGTAAAGGAGAAAGCGCTTTGTCACCAGCACTCCCTCCCCGTGAGGGACGGTCGCTTGGCCGGTAGCTGAGCCTGCCCTGTCCAGGGTGAGGATGACCAGGCCCCCCGTCTCCCCAGGATGCGAAGGAGTGTGTGTCCAAGAGCCACGCAGGGCAGGGGCAGGCACAGAGCCTGTGCCCGCGCAGCCTGAGGCGGCTCTGGGCCAGTTTGCAGGCTCCTGTCCGGGCCTGGGCGAGTGCGAGCAGCACAGTCAGGTTTTGTTGGGAGGCCCCTTCATTCTTTGCTCCTAACAGGGCCTCTCCAGTGCCGGGAGTCCCACCTCCGCCTCAGGACGGGGCTCTCCCGCTGTACAGCCTTGAACAGGGATCTCCCATCTTCCCATGCACGCCTCAGTTTCCTGGTGCTTGCGGGGTTAACGCTCCTCCCCCTGGGTCCCTGAGGAAGCTGCACAGGGAAGAACCCGTTGGCATGGCCTGGCCTGCAGCCAGTACTCTGGGCGTTTTTCGATCTCACCTGAGGGGTCCTGGTCTGCTGCCTGGCCTGGGGCTGGTGGAGGGGCCTGTTCAGGAGGCCTCTGGTTGTAGCGTCACCTGCCTTATTGCTGCTTTTTCTTCCAGACTTCTTATATTTGGGGGGAGAGGGCTCTTTTCTTTAATATCTGCCTCCTCTCCCTGCCCTCCTGCTCTTCTCTCCTCAGCTCGCCCACTGGCTCCAACCCCTGCCTGGATGTCCTGCCCCCAGCCTCAGCACCTACTCTCCCTTAGCTTGCCCTGCCCCGCCCCAGGTGCCCTCACCCAGTACCCCGTTCCTTTCCTGGGCCGCCCCTCAGCCTTGCTCTTCCGCCCTCTCCCCTCAGAGCCCTCGGTGCCCTTCAAGATGCGGCTGCAGGACCTGGAGGTGCAGGAGAAGGGGTCGGCCACGTTCCGGTGCGAGGTGCCGCTGCTGGCCACGGAGGCCGTGTGGTACAAGGAAGAGACGCGGCTGTGGGCCAGTTCCAAGTATGCCATCGAGGAGGCCGGCACGGAGCGGCGGCTCACCGTTCACAACGCCACGGCCGACGACGACGCCGTGTACATCTGCGAGATGGCCGAGGGCAGCCGCACCGTGGCTGAGCTCACAGTACAAGGTGGGCGGC